GGCTGGATTATCCTCCGATCTTGCCTTAGTTGGTCGGATCATCCATCGATCTTGCCTTAGTTGGCCGGATCATTCTACGATCTTGCCTTAGTTGGCCGGATCATCCTACGATCTTGCCTTAGTTGGCTGGATCATCCTCCGATCTTGCCTTAGTTGGCTAGATATCTTACTTTAAAAAACTCGATAACTTCGGAACAGCTTATTCAAATTGGATAAAACCATAGTACTTTGAAAAGGTCTGAAGAAGGGCTATAAGAATATGCAATAAAAAATTGGGAGTTCCATTTAAAAAATCCGAGCTGACTTTGTCCTGACCTTGATGACGCCACACAAGGTCAAAATGTTAAGATCGGTAAATGGATCTTTTTCAACGCTACAACTTTTGTCTGAAATATTTTTTATAGTGTATATTTTTCGAAATTTTCAGAGATCCCGGGGTGTCTTCTTCACCCTGTATACAGTAATATCTGTCTTATTATATCTCGAAAGTGGTGCCATTTGTAAACAAAATAGTGTCGTTGTTTTATATCCCATTTGAAACCATACAATTTGAAAAAAAAATGTTTAAAACTTTGAAACCATACAACACAACTCAAGCGACCCGCTCTACATTTCCGTGAGAAATTGTTCAGGTGATCTGAGACACCCTGTATATATACGCACGCTTGCACGTATACATACATATAGGTGTCCCATTTTAATGTCCCACCTCAAATAACTCTTCAGTATTGAAGTTTCAAGGAAAATTATCTGAATAAAAGTTGTAGGGATTTAAGTGAGTTACCTTATGGTGACCTTGACTTTGACCTTGTCCTCCATTTTCAAGGTCATTTGAAGGTCAACTTGCGTTTTTTAAATGAGAACTCTTATTTTTTATTACACTGCTTTTTTCCTCTAGTTAGTTTGGACAACTTTTGTCTAAAACATTTTTCTACTTGTTTAATATTTTTTGAGATATTTGAGGAAAACTTGATAACTTTTTCAATATTCAACTTACAATATCTCGCTAATTATTTGTCAGAAGAAAAAATGGTATTACACTTTCTTGCTTTATTTAGTCTCAAAAATATATTGTTACAATAGCGCCTTGACTTTTGTTAACTTACTAATTTTTGGAAATTTCAAAATTATCAATTTAACAAAAATCAGGGCGCTATTGTAACAATATATTCCTGAGACTAAATAAAGCAAGAAAGTCTAGTATTACTTTTTCTCCCGACAAATAGTTAGCGAGATATCGTAAGTTAAATATTGAAAAAGTTATCAAGTTTTCCTCAAATATCTCAAAAAATATTAGACAAGTAGAAAAATGTTTTCCACAAAAGTTGTCCAAATTAACAAGCAGAAAAAAACAGTATAATAAAAATAAGAGTTCCTATTTAAAAAACGCAACCTGACCTTCAAATGACCTTGGAAATAGAGGTCAAGGTCAAAGTCAAGGTAATCATAAGGTAGCTCACTTAAATCCCTACAACTCTTATCCAGATCATTTTCCTTGAAACTTCAATACTGAAGAGTTAATTGGGATGGGACATTAAAATGGGACACCCTGTATATAAGTTGATTGGTATAAAATGACCGATTTAATTATCAACGGAATTTAAAGATAAATTTGAAAAAATAATTCATACCGATAGTACAGTATTCAATATAAAGGGAGACATCATAGAGTGGAAATGATTATTTTACAGGTAAAGACGTTGAGGACATTTCAAGGTCAACTTTATTATTTTTTATGGAACGCTATATTGTTTTAATTTTTATTATATAATAAAATATGATCGTTTTTTGAAGACAAGTTCAATAATATGTTACATAAGGTCATTTAAATACAATCAAAGTCATAAACAGATAATAATATAAAGTTTAAATTTATGCCTGATAATTTTGATTTTTACAATAAATATTCGGAATTTTGACATTGAGCGCGACAAATCCAATATACTAATCGATTCACTACTCTTAGTATTTCCAACGGAATATTTTCGAATAGTCATGTAGTCATTCGAACAATATTACTACTAGAGATGTGCGAATCAAGAATTTTTATGTCGAATCGAATCGAATCGAATCTCATTTTTTAAATTCGAATTCGAATCGAATCAAATCTATGAAATTTCATTCGAATTCGAATCAAATCGAATCGAACCATTAAAAAATTTAACATGAATATCAAACGTGCAAATCATGATGGAAGATTTTAATTTGAAAGGGAATATTAATATTGTAATATTATCTTAAAATAAAATATATATTTAAATATTTATAGTAATTTATAATTAAGTTATTAATTATTAGTTAGGTTAATTACGGTAATTAAACATTATTAATTAATAATTAATTAAAAATAAGTTAAGGGTTCAAATATACAGGCCCAGATGGCCCGTTTTATAACTGATACGCACAAACGCTAATATATTTGATTCGTATTCGAATCTTCGCGATTCGAGATTTTCGAATTATTCGGATTCGAATCATAGGGATTCGGATTCGAATCGAATCGAATTACATTAGATTCGATTCGATTCGATTCGAGTTCGAATAGTTCGCACATCTCTAATTACTACGAGTTGTTGAACTTTCAGAGTAAAGTAGGACAAAGCTAAAAGTGCGACGAATAAAACCACGTACAATACTTGCAAAAGAAATTTTCCATATAACCATAGAATTTAATCAGTCATCCAACTATTTAAATTTTCAAAAAATAATTTTATTGAAATTTTCGCTTACGCAGTTTGAACTTGAGGAGCAGACAAATGACAACAAGATATAGTTAATTGATGTAAATACTGTACGATGGCTGAAATAAATATACAATGTAGTGATTCTGTTTTACGGCTGAAAGTAATTTTCTTTCAATGCATATATTTCTGTATAACAAGAAATCTGTTACATGAAAATCAAGTAAGTATAATTATTTTTTCTGCAGTGTAGATTTTGAGTATACAATATAGAAGTTAATCAAGATTTAATAAGACTTCATCTATAATCTAGAAATTAAGGTCATTTACTATTGGACCAAAAAGCCACCATAAGAATCTTTTCATTCTTTAATATTACTTCTTTTCCAGTATGTTTGTTATATCTATTAATCTTCTTATAGTTTTTTTTACTATATATTAATCTTCTGTTTCTTTTTTTTAAATGTATAATTACGTCCGTAAAACAACATGAAGCATGACGTCATTAGACGAAATGAAACACACAGCAGAATAAGTCATCACAGAAAATGTAACACCCGTAATACAAGTAACTCGCGATATTTGCAGGATATCATTGAGCAGATTTATAGCTTGTCATAAAGATAATCTTGCGTCATCAAGATTTGGCTATGTGTGGCACCAAGACTTATTTTATCTCCAAACAAAAAACCTCTTAACAGGATATTTACTCAAACTGTCCCTTCTTTACAACATAGGATCGAAAGATACATATCGCTTAGCGTATGTGCAATTCAATATGAAATAAGTATTCCGAATTCATGGTACACTAATAAAATGACTGGAAAAGACTGCATGATAATATTTTTTAAAAGAAATGTCTAACTTCCTAACAGGCTGGTAACAAAGTCATGTCGTTTTTTTTTCTATGTAAATGAAAAGCGATTTTTTCATACAAAACAAAAATTTTATTTTATAAAAATATATACAGTAGTGATATATTCTCTGTTTAATTCAATGACGTGCCATCCCTTTGATAGCTTCATGATTTCTGCTTCATAGAATTTCCGGTCCTTATCCGCAAGAAAGTAGATAGAATAGGGGGATTCCAACATAAATTGCTAATTAATTATGCAAAATACATTATTTATTACATTATTAATTAATATTTTTTAATGAATACCCCCCTTAATTGATACCTCCTCTTAATTGATCCCATCTCTTAATTGATACCCCCGCTTAATTGATACCCTTTCTTAATTGATGCCCCCCCTTAATTGATACCCCCTCTTAATTGATACCCAGTCTTAATTGATACCCCTTCTTTATTGATACCCCCTCTTAATTGACACCCCCTCTTTATTGACCCTCCCTCTTAATTGATCCCCCCTCTTAATTGATACCCCCTCTTTATTGGTACCCTCTTCCTCCTCCACCCCAGAATTTCTGATTCTATGAGCAAGATGGCGGCCGTGACGTCACGAGAGAAAAACGCGTCGGGCTGTAGGTAGACTCGAACCTGGGCCCCGCGGTTGCTATCGAGCGCTCGAACCTTCTAGACCACCGTCGCCTATTGCTAGTAGACGTCACGTTACGGGTAAGATGGCGACCGTGACGTCACGCATACGTCAAAACAACAAACATGGCGGCGGTGTAGGTAGGGATGAACCTGGGCCCTGCGATTACTATCGAACGTCTATCGGACGTCTCTCGAACGTCTATCGGACGTCTCTCGAACGTCTCTCGAACGTCTATCGGACGTTTCTCGGACGTCTCTCGAATCTCCTAGACCATTGTTACCTATTGCTAGTAGGCGCCTAGTGAAGGTTCTTACAGTGTGTATGATGGCGTCACGCATGCGTCAAAAGAAAAACAAAATCGGAACTAGGCCAAACTCGGACCCCGGACCCTTGGTTTACTATGCGATGGCCCTACTACTTAGACCATCATAGGTTAGGTTGGGAAGGAATACGAAATGTTCGTCGAAAGAGTATTTTACCATGCCGACTTGCGCCGGGCACTATCCTCATCGTTCTGAGGAAGGGGAAGGGAAGTAAAATGGGAGACATATAGAATTAATTTATACATAATTTTATGTTTTAGAATATCATTTATTTGTTCACGGCTTCATACATTATATTTTTTACAGCGCATGCTAACAATTCACAATCAATGAGCGACTCGCGGTCAAAGTCGCTGCTTTCTTGTATTATTTTTGTTGCAGTATGTATATTAGTAATATAATTCTTCTTTTCACGAAGAATATTTACAAAACTTTTGAATTTTACACTAACTATATAGATATTTTCTGATAACCATCCATACATGTAATTGATGCAATTTTCAAATGTAAATAATACATTTAACGTATCTGGTGTTACATATAAGCAATTATTAAAAATTGTGAGTTTCACAATTTGTGAGTTGTATATCTTACATGACGTTATTGTTAATTCTTCTATACGCATCGGGGGAGACGATGACTTATAAAAATTGGCCTGCAGAAATCTTTGGATGTCAGCACGTTGCCCCATTAGCGCATTCCAAGATCGGCAATAGCAGTTGTTTGCCACGATTATCATCAATGACTATGTCTATGACGGGTTCAGCTCCTACGCTGATTCCGATATTCAAATATTTATAAGCAGTTGCAGTCAAAGCGTATCGGCGTCCTAAGATATGCATAGCAGTAGGTCGTGGGACGCTGAAAAGACATAGAAAATTTATATGTCTGAATCTTGGAAAAATTACTACTGATAAACTAAAAGAAATAGCATTATAACACTCACCTTTTGCACATTTTCTTGCTCGGTGGAGCCTCGTCCTCATGTTGAGCAGGCATGTAATAATTTGCGTGTTTAGCGTTCACTTCAGCACCGGCAGCATACGTTTTTATTATGTAGACGCACCCAAACTTTACTATGTAGACACACAACCGATGAATCTCGTGTTCACAGAGCGACTGAGAGACAGAGGTTTTTTTCCGAAGCCTAATATTAAAGCTACCATAGGGCATCCCCTCCTCTTACTCTTCAGAGTTGTAGCGCATGCGCAGATATATTCCTCAAAACAGGAAAGTAAATGAGATGTAGATATCTTTGGTTTAGACTCGGGATGGCATTAGAGATGTCGCTTCCGAACGACATCTTTTAACGATATCAGGGGAGAGGAGAGTGCCTTGACCATGGAGCGTCAGGTAGCTCAGTGGGTTTAAAGCAGTCGCCCTGCAAGCGAGAGACCCGAGTTCAATTCCCGGTCTAGGGAATTTACTCTAGGGGATTACTCTATCGCGTAAGTGCGGTGCGACTACCGCACTTACGCGATATTTTTTCTCTCTTCGGGACGAAATAAGAAGCAGGTCCTATCACCTAGTACACCCTCCTTCTTTCACGGTCGTCATTTGACTCGCGCATATCCGAACGTGTTTTCTAACGGAGAGAATATAAAGTAAAGGATTCCAAAGAGCCGAGTATTCTCTGTAGTTAATAAAGAAATGGAAGACTTCACTCAAACCGAACGAGAACTGTTGGAGCAATCCACTCGTCTGAATTCGCGAGAGGCTTACGACGCGTGGGTGCAAAAGTTTGACAAGTGTATCAGATGTTTGGAAGAACAAAGTCGAGCAAAACGACCGCGATTATCGATTGGCGCCGCGCAATCAGTGGTGGCTCATATTGCACGACTCGAGGGACTGAAAATTTCTGTGCAAGACGCTTCATACACGTGGGTGCTGGACACGCATCAAGAGATGCAGAATTGGTATGGAGAGAAATTGATACAGCGTTCGAAAGCCACATATCAACCGGCGCAGTTATTAACGTGAACCATATCGAACCTCTTCGATTTCTCCAAGATGCGAAGAGTACAGTGCTCGAGCACGTGCGAAGTGCTATGGAAAAGCACGGCAATCTTAAGGTGAACACTGTGTTCAATGGCGAGTTTATCGCAGGCGATAATCATGCATTCAAAAGCATTAACACGAGAAACAGTGAACTCTTTTCTGCTTTAGATTTGGATAAATGGTACGAGCAACGCGTCATCGAGCCTACTTTGGCATCTTTGGAAGAATTTCAAGAACGTGATAGTAGGTGGGCACTGCTGCGCATACTTGATCTCACAGTCAATGTGAACAAATACAATCCACTGCATGCAGGGTGCAACATTGAGTTGCCTCGCGAAATAAAATGAAAGAAAGCCGTGATAAACGTACGAACTAAAGACAACGCATGTTTTGCATGGTCCGTGGTCGCGGCATTATATCCAGCTGCAAGACATGGAGACCGAGAATCTTCGTACCCACGTTACACCAAAATATTCAATCTTCAGGATATTGAATTTCCAATGACGATTAAACAAATTACCAAGTTTGAACAGCTAAACAACATATCCATCAACGTATACACCATTCAAGATAAAAAGAAGCAAGAAGAAGCATGTACGATCGTTCCGATACGTCTCGCCAGTAAGAAGGAAAAGCATGTAAATTTGTTATATGTGCAAGATCCACAAGAGTGCAACATGGGACATTTCGTGTGGATCAAGAATTTGTCACGTCTTATGAACATGCAACTAAGTAAGAAAAAATGCAAGAAATATATATGCGATCGGTAAGGAGATATTCACCATAAATACAATATAACAAATATGAAATAAAAGAATAACTCGTAATATCCATTTCTTTTCAGTTGCTTGCATTATTTTTATTCCAACGAAAAACTGGAGAATCATATCATAGATTGCAACAAGTTGAATGACTGTGCAGTCATCCTGCCAACAGAGGCCAACAAGTGGCTCAGTTTTACTAATTACAGCAGAAGGGAACGGATTCCATTCGTGGTGTACGCTGACCTGGAATGCATTCTAGAGAAAACGTCAAACGAAGAAAAAAAATCGTATGTGTATCAGCATCATAAAGTACATAGTATAGCTTATTATGTACGATGTTCCTACGATGAATCATTATCCGCATATCAGTGTCGTCGCGATCCGAATTGCATTTCGTGGTTCGTCGAAGAACTTAAACAATTGACGCATCGTATAAAAATTATTCTGCGTAATAATGTCCCTATGGAAATTTTATCACAAGAACAGTGCGCAGCATTTTATAATGCAACACGTTGTCATATATGCGAAAAATTATTCGCAGTGGGGGATATACGCGTACGCGATCACTGTCATTTAACCGGACAATACAAGGGTCCGGCACATTCCAATTGTAATTTAAATTATATTCCTATTAGATTCCTATTATATTCTGATAGTTTTTCATAACTTATCAGGTTATGAGGCTCATTTCATTATCAAGGAAGTAGCCACCGCGTTCGAAGGCCACGTCGATGTACTACCAATAACGAAAGAAAAATATATTTCATTTACTAAACATATTAATGATACAACAAGTAAAACATCAGACTGGCGAAATCATATTAAATTGCGGTTCATCGATTCGTACAAATTTCTCAGTACCAATCTCGATAAATTAGCATCGTTTCTCACTGGAGACAAATTAAAAATTCTTCAATCCGAATTTAAAAACTTATCCAACAAATATTTTGATTTATTAACGCGAAAAGGTGTCTTTCCGTACGAATACGTGGATTGCAATGACAAGCTGCAGGATCAATGTTTGCCACCGCGCGAGTTATTCTACAGTTCGCTGACAGATGATACAGTATCTGAGAGCGATTACACACACGCCGTGAACGTATGGGAACGGTTTTCTACTCAAACCTTAGGCGAATATAGCGATTTGTACCTGAAGACTGATGTTTTGTTACTGGCTGATATTTTCCAAAATTTCCGCGATAGTTGTATCAAAAGTTACGGTCTAGATCCCGCGCATTATTACACATAGCCAGGTTTCACGTGGGACGCGATGTTAAAACATACAAAAATTAATTTTGTATTACTCACAGATATCGATATGGTAATGTTTATCGAACGCGATATACGTGGTGGTCTGAGTCAGTGTTCCGGTAGATACGCAAAAGCCAATAACCGATACATGCAATCTTACGACCCATCGAAGCCATACCTCATACCTCATGTACTTTGATATAAATAATTTGTATGGCGGGGCAATGTGTCAACCGTTACCATACGCTGAATTTAAGTAGGTTGATGATACGTCGAATTTTGATGTTTCATCAATCCCGCTAGATTCGCTCACAGGTTATATTCTCGAGGTTGATTTGGAGTATCCCCAACACTTGCATGATGCACACGTAGATCTACCGTTTTGTCCAACGCACACGAAGCCCCCGAACAAACGGCAAGAAAATCTCCTTGCGACTTTATATAATAAGCAGTGTTATGTTATACATTATCGCAACCTGCAGCAGTGCATACGCCATGGTCTTCGTATCGAAAAGATTCATCGCATACTCCAATTCGTACAATCTTCATGGCTACGCAACTATATATAATTAAATACGCAGTTTCGAACGCATGCAACAAACGATTTTGAGAAAAATTTATACAAATTGATAAACAACGCGGTATTCGGCAAAACAATGGAAAATGTTCGCAATCATGTCGATGTAAAACTTTTGACAAAATGAGATGGACGATGGGGTGTAGAGGCAATAGTCGCAATGCCCAATTTTCATAGCAGGAGCATCTTTTCAAGAAATTTGGTTGCAGTTGAATTACGAAAACTCGAAGTGAAGTTCAATAAGCCGATCTATGTGGGTATGTGTATTCTCGACATATCTAAGACCTGCTTGTATGAATTTCACCATGAGTACATGTCACCTCTATATCGCGAGAAATGTAAAGTACTGTATACGGACACAGATAGTTTAATTTACCATGTAATGTCCGACGATGTATATGAGTTAATGAAACGTGACATTGCTAGGTTTGATACGAGCGATTATCCTCAAAATAACATATACGGTATACCGCTTAAGAACAAAAAAGTTCCAGGGCTTATGAAAGACGAAAATAACGGAGCTATAATGACAGAATTCGTCGGGCTCAGAGCAAAAATGTATGCGCTGAAAGTAGAAGGTAAAAAGGATACTAAAAGGGCGAAGGGTAATATTATAGCATGAACGATCAATTTTGACGATTACACGCATTGTTTGAGAGAGGAAATTGAAACGAGTCGGCGTCAATCGTACATAAGATCCAAGTTGCATGAGGTATACACGGTATTCGAAACGAAAACTGCTCTCAGTCCATACGATGATAAGCGATTTATTATGCCTGATTCGATAAATACATTACCATGGGGACATTATAGTATACTATTATAACGTTTATCTGTTTTATTAGTTATTTTACAATTAAATATGTCATCAAATGTTCTAATAAAACTGTATTCATTTTTTACAATACATTATCCTTTTGTATCCATGAATTATGCGAATTGTCGAATCCCAACTATTTTACATATACTTTGTCACCTTGCCTGCGCAATACCTTTCTACTAAGTATACATCTGGATTGGTGACACTATGTAGTTCGTGTTCGTAGAAACCCCCGGCGATAGGTTCCCGCGCGAGTCTGCGAGTAGGTAAGTTGCAGGATTAGTTGTCTGCACTTTGACGATTTTAAACACTTCGGTTGTCCAATTCGGTGTATAGCCTTTTTCAAAGATAGTTTTGAATTTGCTGACACGTACCAGATCACCCACTTTGAATTTCGCAGGCGCTGCAATCTTTATGTTACTATAGGCTGTGTTTAAGAGCTTATTAGCAATCGTAGGAGTCACATTGATAGGACGCATGCCGATAGTTCGATTTTTTCGCGTGTGTATTCAGCGACGAGCGCGTAACGAGTCGATCCATTTGTAAGTTCGTTGACAAAACATTTTCACATGTTGTTCTTAACGGGCGATTGATCGCTCCACAAGTCCTCATTACGAATAAGTCGAATAAGATAACCCGTGTTTCTTACAGTCTCTGCAACTCATTTTAGTAAACTCCTTTCCTGATCAGTTGCAAGTTTTCGGAATCATTCCATCGTTGAATGTATCTTTTGCGCAATGCTCAGCTTATCTCCTTCGGCTTTTGCTCTTTTAACGGTACGGCCCCCCCTGCCATGCGTGCTTGCTCAGTAACTCGAAATGTGGATGTGTGTGCGTGGCCTCATTAATCGCGAGTTAAGGAACCATTCCACACATCAGCCTGCCAAATCATCGAGTCCAGACTAGACGCGTTCTGGAGGAACAATTTCGTCCGTTGGAGCGGTAATTCTTTCACAGTATTTTTCTTTACGAAATGTTTCTTTCCATTATTTCCCTCTACATCGTGAGCGTTTCTTCATCATGTGAGCTTTGTCGCTTACACCGCGGCAGAACATCTGAA